CCCTCAATCCTTCACACACTGCTCCTGAGAGCTTCTCTCAAATCACGGCCCAAGAATCCCTGTCTCAGGTTCTGCTATTAGGGAATTCCAGCTAAAACAGCAGCTGATGAGATAATAGAAATCAGAAATTCCTAAGACAGATGTCTGCTTGCAAATATAAGGGAGGGCAAACAATGAGTGGCTTATAAAAGATAAAACAATGTGGTCTAACCTGAGGGACTGATGATGACGTGGTCACAGTGGGATGGCCGCGGGAGAGACCCACCTCTCTCTTTCTGAGCTTCGCCTTTCTAATCTGCAAGTGGCAACTCCACCACCATGGGGAATAGATGCAAGCACGAGTCACGAGGGGGCACTAACAGGAGTAGCTGGAGAGCTTAGGGAGCAGAACATTCGCCATCTTAACATATCACCCCACAGGTTGCTTATCATGAAGAGGAAAAGGGACCCTGACAGTCAGTGGAGAAACCTGGCAGACGCCATCAGCCTCCAAAAAATGTGACACCCGCCGATGCTCTGAGAAGGAGTCTCCTAACCTCGACTTGCAGCCTAGCAGGTAGCCGAGCAGACACTAACCTTTGCTTACAGTTTATAACTTTGCCTCGATTAACCTGTGACCCCACTTAGATCATTCTAAAACTCATAAGGTTTGCGTAACGCTCTCTTGTAACTTGCTGACAGTCTCACAGAAAGGCGGAGGCTTCGTGAGATGTCTGTCCATCTGTACCCACGCAGCCCTGGCGCTGATGACTGCTGGGACTGCTTTCCAGAAACAGGCCCAGGATGTTTTTTTGGCAGGACTGGGGGTGAACCCGTTGAAAGCGCCTGCGACTGGCTGCAGCGGCCTGAAGGACCTCCAGTGACCTCCTCATGAACTTTCCTCATTGACCCTCTTTGTAATACTAAAATCTCCACCCTGGGGCAGAGATTTTCCGCCACTCTTGAACATGCGATGTATGTACAGCCATGTTTCCTGACGGCAAGTGTGCTGGTGTCCCTGTCTGCACACACAATGACCAGGTCCACCCTGACGTTTATGCAGGATTTC